TCTAGTAATATATTTACTGAGAAAAATGGTGAAGTGTTCAATACTTATTTTACCCGCTGTAAATAATACAGCTATTACAAGAAAATGATTACTATTAATAACCTTTATTATAGGTTGTATGAGCATGTTATATTTTACAAGGATGCAACAGTAAAAGTGCACAGCTAACAAAAAAAATATCTGCACACTTATCAGAATTTAACTGCTTATATAAGGGTTTGCATTGACATTACAGTCATGTGGGACAAAGGCCAATATAAACACATTTGATGCTGAAACAAACTGGTAAAAACTACTCCATCCTTTTTGATCGCAAAGAATAACATGAAGGAAACACTTCTAAGCAAAAGGCCTTTAATTTGAAAATCCAGCTACATGCAAAACATTTCTGAACTTATATTTTATTCCAGTAATTCAAATTCTAAGTTTTCTTTTTTTTAACCATCAGAAGTTGGATAAGTCTCTATATCTGTCACATTTATGGTTTTATGTAGTAATTGTGTGTAAATTGCAGCACTGACATTAACATGAAAATAATCATACAGAATGCATTTAAAGGATTTCTATTTTACATAAATATTAAAAYATTTAATATTTTAGAAAAATATAGTACATACTTGAATAAGCAACATGCTTGTATTTTAGCATAGTTATTTAAATGATCTTAACACTCTTACATAAGAGTCAAATATTACATTAGGTACAGTATTTTATATACATATTCACAAATCAGTCAAATATATATACAGTATTCTGTGGTTCCAGAAGTTTTAGACTATCAGTCCCAGACGTTTCTTGATAAAGTGAGACACCAGGACTTGAGGTCTCTCCTGGTACTCGACCAGAACGTCATGAGGGGAGGTGATCTGATCCCCATCAAAGCGGTTCAGCAGGGTCACGCAGACCACAGCCGCTGCGTGGAGAGAAAACAGGAGAAAACTATTAGTCRTTTTTACATGAGATGTATTGAAGATTACACGTCAAGTCATATGTAGTTCTGATTATGAATGTTTTCAGCACCTTTAAGACCACAAACTCTGCACATGGCGGCAAAGACCGTGGACTCCATTTCAATATTCCTCACTCCAGCCTCGTAAGCCTTCCTCAGGTACTCCAGTTTCTCTTCGTGAGAGAAGGAGCAGAGAGCTCCATCAAGTCTGCCTTGACCTAAACAGAGACCCAACCAAGGATCTGTCAGGATGTGACGTGTATACCACAACTTACTAATGCTTGAAAAGAAATCTCAGCGGGGAAGTGCGTTCCGTACCTTCATAGAAGTCGTGGGTGCACATGGTGTTTCCGATAACCGCTGGAAGGTTTTGAATTTCTGAGGAGTACAGCAGGAGCTCATTGGCGACTCCCTCGTCCAGCTCGGTGCTCCTGGTGATGACTTTACCCAGAACGATTTGTTCGAACTGAGGTAGGAAAGCGTAGTCCACCGCCTTATCTGTGATCACCACCGTCCCTGGAGCCAGGCCTGAGGATGGGACAGAGGGCTTTAAAACGAGCACATCCTCAAATCACGTCAAAGCCGATTAAAGCTCTGCTCTTACCAACACCACCGGATGTTCCCAGGCGGAACAAGACCACATCGTGGCACTGGGCGTGATGCAGCAGCTTGATGAGCTCATGCAGCATAATGGAGATGGAGGGGACACCCATGCCATGCTGTCACATTAACAGTAGATGGGAATTATTCATTAAAAAACCAGCAAATATATATAATTATGAGGGTAATTTTTGCTTTTTTAAGTAATACTTACACTTATCGAAAGCACTGGTCCAACTTTGTACATGCAATAGCGATCAGTTCCTTCGCAGATGTCTCTGATATCTTTAGGGTTTCCGGGTAATTTCAGCTCCTGGTGCATGAACTGGGCGAAGGCCTTCATCCGGTTTGGGCTGCCACCAACACACACGAACTATGCAGAAAAGAGAAAGAAAGCCGAGTTGATGAGTTCTGTTTTTGTAGCTCTTATAACTTTTAATCTCGCCTTTCACAAACCTTAATGTCTCCGAACATCTCTGGGAGGTTGTGAGTCTTGGTGCTCAAGCTGAAGTGGTAGAGAATGTCTTCCTCCATAGAGCCCAAATAAGGGTTTTTCACCTGGACCTGTTGTCTTAAGAGTATTTGAGTTTATATTATTAATCACTGATAAACACAACCGTACATGGCATGTTGGAAAATAAAATTGGTTCATAAATACTTACTTGATGTAGTCACTGTGCTCATTTTCCACAGCGTTCAGGAGAATCGGTGCCATGATTTCTTTGAACGTCTTTAAAAGTTACCCGTCTTGAAGCTCTTTTTCCAAATAAAGCTGAGATCCAACTGCACAGCTGATATAGCGCTCGCCCCTGACCTCGCCACTGATTGGTTCTGGAAAGTAGGAGTAGCAGCAGTCCCTTCTCTGATAAAAGGAACTTCCCGTCACAAACAAACAGTCACAGAATATTACAAAAAGGCGTTTGCGGGAATGACCTATGTGACGAAAAAGGCGGTGGCATGATTAAACTCCGGGGTGTGTAATGTCCCAGCTGCAGCCAATCTGACGTGAAGTGACATAACTCACCTCCAGAACACTGAGATAACCTCTGACCTGATGCTTTAACATATCAAAACAGCAACGTATAAAGCTAACAAAATGTACAACTAATACCTGAACTGTTCATTGTTGTGGTAAATATTGACCAGTGAAGGAAAAAAATGCTTCTGAATTATTTGGATTTTTTTAAAACTTTATTTTCATAAATGCTCAATCAAATTTACCACCGAAAATACACAAAGCATTACCACAAGTTTCTTCTTTCTTTGACAGATGTCGTTATGGAGGCACTGCTAACAGGCACAATAAATAAAAAGCTATAGCTTCAATTCAGTGAAGTGTTTTTACACTTGGGATAACATTTAAAATTGAGTAAAAATGCTTAATGTAGCTCAGCTGGAAAGAAAATAGTATCAAATTGATGTCAGAAGCAAAAAATGGCAACTATTCTTCTTGGAGTCATGATGTGCTTCTGGCAGTCTTCCAGTCTGTTGACATAAAAAACATGGAAAAAGAGCAAAAGTCATTCAACTAATCATTGTCACATAATTCACTAATATTGTCACATAATCCTGTCAAGATGCTACATAAAGTCTTAATGATTCTGTGTCATTTAACAGCTTGCCTTTATTTCCTTTTAATTGCATTACAAGTGTATTTTTGCAAGCAGGATTTAAAATAAGTTCAAACAACTGTAACTCAGCTGCCGTGAGACTTACGAAACATGTCACTGCGCTGGTTTGTTGTCCTCTGCGTAACCAAAGCTCAACAGCTTCGACATGTCAACAGGTGCCGGTTTCTTGTCAAACACGCTGCAAAAGTTCCAAAGAAATTACGATTAGATAAAGGTTTTATTTTATAATCGATTTGAAATGGAATAGTCAGTCTGCCTTAAATAAAATGCGTTTTTTAAAATTATTTTATGCAACAAAGTGTTAAAAGGTAACGACAGACGACACAGTTTAAACATTAAACATGTGTTGACTGACGCAACACTGCATCCCAAGTTAAACTCTGGCTACTTATTACAGATTTATTCTTTCAAAAAAAGCACACACACAATCATCAACCTGTAGTTCCAGCAAATGGTTTTCGCTTTATTTTGTAACCAAATAACCAAGTCTGTAAAACGATTCCACCTGAACAAGTTGCATAATCACAACAAGCAAAATGATTTTGCGGCACGACGGTGTGGTGGTTAGCACCGACGCCTCGCAACAAGAAGGTCCTGGCTTCGGACCTGAGGTCTTTCTGTGCATTTTCTCCTCGTGCTTGTGTGGGTTTTCTCTCTGGTACACTCCAAAAACATGTTGCCTCCAGGCCTCCCTTGAAAAAGAGATCGGTGATCTCAATGGGATTTGCCTGGTTGAGCGTTAAGCAGTGATAAAATAAATTTTCTGTTGAATCATTTTTCCTCAATACAATTCAGATAAAATGTAGCAGTAATGTAGATTTACACTCTCTGGGTTGTTTGTTCACACTGACGAATAAAGCTCAATTGTAGACTTGCTATAATTATTTGGTTGACCATTTTTGTCCCTATAGCAGTGAAAGTTATGTTGTTGTTTTGACAAGTCATTGACCTTTTTTTTTCCCAGTGGTACTGGGAACACACAGCTCCGATCAGCTGAGAGCCAAAGCAAACAACATATCTAGATGCCACTGCACTTTGTGCTGTTTTATTTGACCGGAGCATTCCTGCTTTATCACCACAACAGTGAAACTTATGGACTAGAGTTTACACATGATGCTCTTAAACATACACGACAGAAAAAAATAAAATAAAAAACATTGTAGGGAGTTTTTAGGGTAAATACTATGGAATTACACTGATGCAAACACAAAGAACATTAGAAAAATGTATTAAGATCTTTTTAGGAGAGGTACATATACATGTTTAAGTCTATTTTAACTTCATTTAACATCTTCATACAAGTATTAGTGTAGTGTTTGTCCCAAAAATCACTCAGCATAAAATTTAATTAAGATCTTAAAAGGACAAATATGACTCTGGAGAAGAAAGTATCTTTTTTTTGTCACTTCAGTAGAAAATGAAACCAAATATTAGTTTATTTAGTTTATTTATTTCTTCATCATCAGTGACTTTTTT